GGGTGGAGTAATGGCTTGCAGCTCAGATTGAGATATCGGAGAGACGAGTTCGAATTCCAGTTGTGTTCATTACATTCACTTCCGTGCTAATACCCTTGGGAAATGTATGGCTCCATCTCTTATCACCCACCAAATACGGTTAAGTTGCAGGAGAGACTGAGCCTTATATCCATGGCTGGCCATCAGTGTCTGAATTCAAAAGCTGCTGAGGGTCGTTTGTGGGATACAGTACACTGTACTCGGCTCTTTCAAAAAGTGTGGTTGATTATGCACAAACCTTCACCACTATAATTAAATTATATGTGCTGGTAGTCAGGTTGTTGTTTCTAAGAACTGAGATGAAAACAACGGCAGAGACCAATGTATATCTATATGAATAAATACGAAACTGTAGCTCAATTCTCCCATAAATTCTGAGGTTCGCAACTATACTTTAGAATAATTTGTATTTATTTAACATCCCCCACACACACACGCGGTCAGGTTGTGACACAAGGTCAGTTTAATGTGGGGAGCCCAGGCGCGCGTACACCCAGGCGAGGAACAAAAATTGCCCGGTTGCGCTGACCTCGTTGCGAGCATCGATCCCTCTCTCTGGTGCAATCAAAGGGCGCGGCCTCGGGTAGTTGTCCTCAAGGGCTGGACATCTCTCAGTATAATTTTCTGTAAGCGATCTGGGATTGCAAAGGAAATATTTGTTGCAGATTACAATGCAGAGAATAAATCACGGTAAGTTCAAACTCGAACATCAGGGGCAGAAAGAAATGCCGAAAACTCGATTCGCAGGTACTATCTCACAAATCACAATGCATTTAACCAGTCAGAAAAACTCACTCTCCGAAGAACGTGGTAGCCAAAGTGCCCCAATTTTATTTTCTCTTTTGCTTTTATCGGCCGAGCATCTTTTTTCATTCGTCGACAACTGGGTGAGGACGCTCAATTTTTGCCTACCAAAATACTTTTATAGCGACTGACTTGTGTTTAGAATATTCCGTTTTCAGCATGTCATGCGGAATACTTGCCCTTTCTTTTATGGTAAGTAATTTTCTTTTATGGTAAGTAATTTTCTTTTTCGCCACATTTTCCGTCGTAGGATACACACGACACGCTGTCGCTTGGTTTGACGATTATGTCGCCATTTTCTTCGCTATATTTTCCTCAGTTGCGACTCTGTCCTTTGAAGGAGTCGCCCCTGAATGCACTCTCCTCAAGGACAGAGATGCAATGATAGATGATAAGTAATATGTTACAACCTACTTTATAGTAATTTACGCACCACAAGTTCAATATCTGAATTATATGTTATCTTCTTCTAGACGATATCATTTTTCTGATTTAACTCATTTACATATTGATTTTATAAACTTATATTTCATTAACTGTCTTTCATTATTATTAAAGGATTGTTTTGATTTTCATATAAAAATTAGTTCTGTTTAGGAATATTGTCTTATATAGTGCAGAAAAGTATTTGAAATTTGCATTTTACTTAGCCTTCAACAAGTTGGCATCTATTTGTAAAACTTTCTTTAACTGTAGTAACATGCCCCACATCCGACCAATTAATTTCTTCTGACTTTACAGTCATATTCTTTGAACAAATATATTGAACGTCCACAGCCCCTTCAAGATTTCATAAATAGTGAACATTAATCCCATAGAAAAACAATTAATTTTTCCTAGAATAATTACCACAGAGCGAGCGAGCGAGCGAGCGAAGCCTTTTAGTATATGATAAAAATCTTTTAAGGTATGCTATATTCATGGGTAAGAAGGCTCTCCATATATAAAAAACATTAAACCATTTTTGGAATAAAATAGCAGCAGGTGTCAGGTACTTACTAGCGCAGTACTATTTACGGACTATTTACTATTAACGGACTATTTTCGGACTATTTACTATTAACGGACTATTTTCCAGCCTCATTGCCGATGCATGTTTTGCACGTGCCCCAATTAAAGTCTCCGTTCAGTGTAAATCCCAAAAGGCGCTCAAGGCACGGGACCTCCCTGAGGGGATATCCGTTTATCGTGATTGGTGATAGTTCAGTGTCCGATCGACGATGATGGAATGTTTATTCGTACTGTGTGTTGTTAGTTTTTCCGAAGAGGAAAATCATTGTTTCGAGATTAATATTTAAGCGCTGTAACCTTTGGTCTAGCTAAGAATGTACAAATTTCGATATATTGCTGTAAAATATCAAACATGATTGTTGGGTAATCGTCCTTGGGATTTTCGACTAATGAAATCACTAGAGGGCGTGCCATTGGCTCTACACAAATTCACCACCACGCACAAGGAGGCTATTCTATTTTTTTAAACTTACACGACAGAGAATTGGCTGTAGGCAAACGATTATGCTCAGTCAAATAGAGGATTATCAATTATAATAATATCATTTCAATGATATACATAAATTTGTTTAAAAAAGATTTTTGAGTAATCGTCCTTGAAAGTTCTATTTAAATCGCTAGAGGACATGCCATTGGCTGGATAGGAAATCACCTCCAATCATTATAAGTAGGTTGTTGCATTTCTTCAGTGTTAAAGAAATCATTAGTGAGCTCAAAGACATAGATATGATAAAAATGATACATGCTTGTTCGTAAGAGTAATTAAGTCATAATACAACTTGTCTGTGTATTTCTAACTGGACGTAGGCGATCATGGCTCTCCACCTCCTTCTATCCATGCATCACTCAACAAGTTCCTTCTCTCTGCTACGTTGTGCCATCTACTTCCCTCTGACACATTCTGTCATCCACTTGCATAAACCCGCCATGTATGTCATGCGTTGTTTTCCCTTGTCTCTCTTTCCCTCTATTAATATCAGATTCTCCAAGTCCCCATTCTTCATTATGTGACCCAGCAACTTTAGCTGCCTTTCCTGAAGTTTATAAGCCTCATCCTTGTTTGCATCCTCTCTGAGACCTCATCGCTGATATGCTTAGCATCCTTCTGTAGAATCACATCTTCGTCGGCTCGAGTCTCTTCTTCATCTTTGAGGAAATCGTCCAACATTTGCTGCCGTAAAGAAGCTCAGTGTTCTTTTCTTTTCTTTAAGAAAATGCTCTGCAATGAAAACACTGTCCTTCGAAGTTATCTGTTATTTTTAGATATCAGAAGCCAACGTTTGACTGATAACATCAATTACCCACCGGCGAAATGTAGTTTCCATGTGCCTTTACTATAAATACTTTCATGATTAACTTCCCCTATGGTACCTAGCTTTTAAGAATTTAAGCTCAGTACTAGATTGCCAACAAGGTCTCATCATTTTTTAAATTAAAATTATTGTATTCTCTTCCGACATGTTGCTTTCCACTGAACTTTAATCTTCAAAAATATGATTCAATGTCAATAGTTATCTATTGTCTTGATTCCTCTTCTTTTATTGCTCTCGCTCCTTAATAATATTTCCTTTTCTTCTTTCACACTCAGTAACCTCTTGTGTCTTAGTGGCTTTATTGCCTTATTTGAGGTGAAATAAAAACGTAACTGCCATCATCGACGCCCATTCACAGCCTCAACGTCCACATCAACTCGAGTAATTAAATAAATTTAGGTTATGATATCTACTCAAACTATTAGCGACTTTATTTTGAATGCTGCGGATTAGTGGCAGTATTCCAAGAATCTAAAAATGGCGAAATCTTTACTAATTATATTTGCCAATTAACGACGAAGTTAATTGATGCGCTCCTCGACAAGCAGATCTCGACGACTGTCTCTGATCACGCCCAGGCCATAGCTGTTCATTGCCGGGGACGAAATAATCTGTTTCTTTATCGAGGCATGTCGATCATTTTCATTGCTATTGTCTTTTATTATCAACACTGGTGCCAGACACAAATTAAAGATTATGCCTGGCGTGCGTGATGGAGATAAAGGGTAGAGAATGATTAGTGAAGAGAGAAGGGCGTAGAAATGTCAAAGAATTAACTACAGACTCGAAAGTGGTTCATTAAATAGTGCAATGAACCGTGTACAGGGAGAAACTACAGGATTATCTTCTTTCATATGCGGTCTTGCAATTGTAAAAAGCTTTTATGGACTTTCTGCGTTCTAAAAAAAAACCCTTAGATAGGATTTGGAGATGATTTTTGTTGTTACACGATGTCAGCTTTTATTTTTTTCAATATCCCTTTCATTCATCTTCCGCCAACAGCATAACATGAACACGTACACCTTTCTCTACTGCTCGACATTGAATAGCTGATCTGGTTTGAATCTCAAAAACAAGAAGTTGGAATATATCCAGACGTAGTTGGTTACAATCTTTTAACTGCGTTACTACCCCGGTGACATGATGCAGCCATTTCGGAAATCAACACGTTGTATGTACCTTTGTTCTAAACTTAGGATTTATCGATTTATTGGCCTTATACCATACGAAGCCATCATAAATAAATAACAGCAACATAGAAGAAGGCAGTTCACCTGTTTAGATATCAAGAAAAATCCACATGATGATTTTACATGGAAGACAAAATAATTTGTTAAAGAAACGAAAATAGCTCGTAACCGGACGTATCGTAAATTTTATAAGTTGAGCTTCGCAGCTTTTTTTTTTTTTCAACGTCTTAACCTTGTAAGTCTTTTCAGCCAATCAACTGGGTCCTGTGATCCTGCATCGTCCTACGATCAGTCAATAAAAAATGTGGCAAGCGGAGAATAAAACGTCCTCGGTTGGACAATGAAGGCGGCAATGGATTTTTTAATTGCGCAAAAACGTCTCGGGAAAGATATAAAAGTCAGCAATATGAAAGAGGAGCGAGAGCTGTGAAAAGAAACAAATGCGAAAATAAATATAAGCGATTATTAACACAACAAAAGGTCAAATGTAAAAAAATAAATAAAAATAAAAAATAAACTGGTTTGGAAGAGAAGAAAAATACCATGAGAAAAACATAAAATAAAATATAGGTTTGAAAGAAGTAAAAGGGGAAATGTATGTATGATTAAGAAGGAAGTAAGATAATGGAAGAAGAATTTAGAATTAGATGTAAAGAAAAAGAAATAACGGGAGAAGGAGTGTGAAAACAGAAAGAAAGAAAGAAAGAAAGAAAGAAGGGAGGAAGGAAAGAAAGAAAGAAAGAAAGAAAGAAAGAAAGAAAGAAAGAAAGAAGGAAGGAAAGGAAGAAAGAAGGAAAAGAAGAAAAAAGGATGGAAAGAAAGAAAGAAGGAAAGAAAGAAGGAAAGAAAGAAAGAAAGAAGGGAGGAAGGAAAGAAAGAAAGAAAGAAAGAAGGGAAAGAAAGAAAGAAAGAAAGAAGGGAGGAAGGAAGGAAAGAAAGAAAGAAAGAAAGAAAGAAAGAAAGAATGGAGGAAGGAAGGAAAGAAAGAAAGAAAGAAAGAAAGAAAGAAAGAAAGAAAGGAAGAAAGAAGGAAAGAAAGAAGGAAAGAAAGAAAGAAAGAAGGAAAGAAAGAAAGAAAGAAAGAAAGAAAGGAAAGAAAGAAAGAAAGAAAGAAAGAAAGCAAAACAATGAAAGAAATAAAAAGTGTGGAAACAGAAGAAAAGAAAAAAGGAAGGAAAGAAAGAAAGAAAGAAGGAAGGAAAAAGAAAGAAAGACGGAAAGGAAGAAAGATTGAAGGAAAGGAAGAAAGATTGAAGGAAAGAAAGAAAGAAAGAAAGAAAGAAAGAAAGAAAGAAAGAAAGAAAGAAAGAAAGAAAGAAAGAAAGAAGGAAGGAAGGAAAGGAAGAAAGAAGGAAAGGAAGAAAGAAGGATGGAAAGAAAGAAAGAAGCAAAGAAAGAAGGAAAGAAAGAAAGAAAGAAGGAAAGAAAGAAATAAAGAAAGAAGGAAAGGAAAGAAAGAAAGAAAGCAAAACAATGAAAGAAATAAAAAGTGTGGAAACAGAAGCAAAGAAAAAAGAAAGATTGAAGGAAAGGAAGAAAGAAAGAAGGAGAGAAAGAAGGAAGGAAAAAGAAAGAAAGACGGAAAGGAAGAAAGATTGAAGGAAAGGAAGAAAGAAAGAAGGAAAGAACGAAAGAAAGAAAACAAAACAATGAAAGAAATAAAAAGTGTGGAAACAGAAGGAAAGAAAGAAAGGAAAATAAAAAGAAAGAAAAAGAGCATATAAATAAAGAAAGAAAGAATAAAAAAAAAATGTTTGAAAATAGAGAGAAAGCAAAATAATGAAAGAAAGAAAGAATGTGGAAAGAGTAGGAGAGAAAAAAGAAAGAAAGAAGAGGAAAAAGCAAAAATGGAAACTAAAACAAAGAAATAATGAAAAAAGAAAGAGTGTGCAAATAGAAATAAAGTGAAAACAGGAGGAAAGAAAAAGAAAGAAAAATTATTTGGTTTCGTTTGGTTTGTTTTACGGCATATTAACACCTCAATGGATTATTTAATACCGCCAAAATTTTTATTGCTTGTAATATTTTTTTTTTTTCAAAAATGTGTTGCTGCTGATATTTTTTTTCAAAAATGTATTGCTGGTGACATTTTTTTTCAAAAAATGTATTGCTGGTAATAATTTTTCTTCAAAAATTTATTACTGGTAATATTTTTTTTACAAAGTTTTCTTTCTGGAATTAAAACCTATTTTTATATTTTCATAGTGTTTTGAACCCAGTTGGGGGTTAACTATTTACTCATAGTCGGGACTCCAACAGTTGCCACCACCCTGGTTTTGGCTGGACCGAGGAACACCAGCAATTATGAGGTAGTTCAACGCTCCTGAAAAGCTTCTGATCAGAGGCCTTGCTGTTGGACGTCGTTTATCGTCTAATCCGGGACGGAAGAAAGAAAGAACGAGAGAAAAATAATGAAAAAAGAAAAGGAGTGAAGTTCCTGAGTCACGATGGCCACAGTATGCTCTAATTCTTGCTGGGCCTTAGTTTCAGTGCAATCGGAGGAGAGTCTTTGCTTCTACTCCTTCACATATAACCCTCGTAATGTAGGAGAATTTTCACGATATTGCCATCACCAAAATTTGACTTCCTTGAATGCTCTGGATTATTATGCAGAGAGAGAGAGAGAGAGAGAGAGAGAGAGAGAGAGAGAGAGAGAGAGAGAGAGAGAGAGAGAGAGTCTCAGAATATGAAAAGATACGTTGAAAGCGGACAACGTGGACATGATGGTTAACACAAAGAAATCAAACCTAACCTAACCATGTCATCAGCTGTGGGGTACCATCCAGTCCGTCGAGGAAGCTGAAATTATTTAATAAGAATTTATTCCTAATTTGTATATGTTTATATTTTTTTCAAAAGATATATTTATATATTAATTGTTTTCAATTTCGAACCCTATATTTTTTGTTTGACGGTCCTTGATCGGACACACTTCCAAAAAGTATTAGCACATGATCAAATATCAGAATTTTAATCGCAAAATATTCTTGCTAGGCCGAGGATATTTCAGCTCCACATCTCAGTTCATTTCGATAAAAATCAACAGAGGATGTGATATTTAAGTACATAACTGTGTTCATAAGAATATATATGTATATATGTATGTATGTGTGTGTGTACGTGTGTGTGTGCGTGTGTGTGCGTAGATACATATATGTATGCATTTTTATGTACGTTGCAGAGATTGGGTAAACACTTCAGCAGAGACACTTGTACTCCGTAACGAAGAGCAAGTCATTTCGTACGTATATATGCATGAATGTATGTGTATATGCATATATATATATATATACATATATATATATATGTGTGTGTGTGTGTCTGTGTCTGTATCCGTGTGTACATGTGTGTGTTTATATATATATATATATATATATATATATATATATATATATATATATATAGCCATGTGTAAAAACACGAGGTAAAAATAATAATATCAGAAGTACTTTATATATATATATATATATATATATATATATATATATATATATATTTTTGTGTCTGTTTATATCAATATATATATATGTATGCGTGTTAATATCTATGTGCACTTCTATCTGAACGTCTGTACATACGTATATATATTTCGCTCAAAATAAAAATAGGAATCGATGCACACACAAACACATTCTCACACGCTAACACATACACACACACACACACACACACATTAAAGACGTATATACATGCATGCCTATATGTATGTATGTATGAATGGAGAAAATCGATACAAACAAACAGCAAAATAAACGACGCAATTTTGACTCAAGTAAACAATAAACATACGAGTCAAACTTTTCGCATCCATAAACCTTCGTCGGGCGCAAACGATTCGAAAATAATGGCATTATATAAATCCTAATCGGCCAGACTGCGTTGGCAGGGTGGTCTTGGGTGGGTCGTTGGGCCTCAACACTTTATCAACGAAGCTTTGACATCATGATCGAAGGGCTTTCGATTCTTGGTGCCCCGGTCTTTCTGCCTGCACATAAATACGACATTACAGAGATAAAAACCCGAGGCTGAGAGAATAGTTACAACAACAAGTGGTTGGACAGGCGGTGGGGGAGGTCTCTGGTGCTTTTTTGGTGGGGGAGGTTGCAATTTTGTGTGCGTGCAGTTTGTCTTGGTTGCGATTGTGGTTGGGGATTAAAGAATGGCGGGAAATAGGGGTGTGCTGCTGATGCGCATTTCGGGGAGAGGTTATCAGTGTGTAAGAAGCTTGTTAGCAAAGAGAGAGTGAGAGTGAGAGAGAAATGAGAGAAAGAGGCGTGAGTAATGACAGGGAGTGATATAGCGATAGAAAGAGAGAGAAGAAAAGATAATGAACGAAGGAAATAGAGAAAAATAGGGAATGAAATACTGGTAAATGGAAATCAACAAAGAGACGGGGGGTATATAAAATAAAATAAATGGAAGAAGAAGAAGAAGAAGAAGAAGAAGAAGAAGAAGAAGAAGAAGAAGAAGAAGAAGAATTAGTAGTAGTCGTCTATGGACAAATAGTAAGAGATAACTACTAAAAAGAAAAAGGAAGAAGAAAGGGATTGTAAGAAGAGAACTATAGATAATAAGAATAAGAAAAAGTATATAACTATGAAAAAGAAGAAGGGGAAAGAAAATATAACTATTGAGAAGAAGAAGAAGAAGAAGAAGAAGAAGAAGAAGAAGAAGAAGAAGGATAATTATTGAGAAGAAGAAGAAGAAGAAGGATAATTATTGAGAAGAAGAAGAAGAGGCGGAAAGATAATATAATTATTAAGAAGAAAAGGAAAGTGAATATAACTATTAAGAAGAAGAAGAAGAAGAGAGAGAAGAGGAAGAGGAAGACGAAGAAGATGAATAATAATAATAATAATAATAATAAGAAGAAGAAGAAGAAGAAGAAAGATATTATAATTATTAAGAAGAAGAAAGAGTATGAGAATATAACTATTAAGAAGAAGAGGAAAAAGAACTTAATTATTAAGGAGAAGAAGAAGAAGAGAAAATAAGATATAATTATTAAGAAAAAGAATAAATAAATGAAAGATGTTATAACCAATAAAAAGAAAAAAAAGAATATAATGCAGCCATGGAGGAAGAAGAAGAAGAAGAAGAAGAAGAAGAAGAAGAAGAAGAAGAAGAAGAAGAAGAAGAAGAAGACCATCGAGAAGAAAAATAAAGAGAATATATCGACGATGAAGACGAGGTAGAAGAAAATTGAAATTAACGGAGGAAAAGAAAAACAATAAAAATTAAAAAGAAAGAAAGAAAGAAAATATACAGAAAGAAGAAAGACGAAAAATAATAATAATAAAAAGTGATTAACAGAGAGAGAGAGAGAGAGAGAGAGAGAGAGAGAGAGAGAGAGAGAATGGAAGTGAATCATTTTCTTGTTTAACGAGAAACATCGCTGTTTTTCGTAGAGAACTTAAAGGAAATAAGCACGAAAAGAAAGCGACAAAGAGAATAAACAGAGTTTTCAATAAAAATAAGGAATGATTGCTATTGAGCGGGTGACACAAAATGTCTTTCGATACACAAGAAAATGGAAAGAGATGAATAGATAAAGGAAAATAAAAGTAACGTTTTGAACGTGAGATACACAAAAGTAAAACGTAAGAGAAATGAAGACAGATAAAGACATTGAAGTTGAACTGTCCAAATTTCGGAAATTATATATTCACATTCATATACTGTTCATTGATTAATTGATAAAGGGCCTGACAGATGTTTATGCTAATAAAACCCTGTAGTCGTTAATGAGTTCGTAGAGTTTTAAGCTCTTTAATTAACAAGTCTTCTGAAATGCATAAAATTTCTCTTCAAGTGTATGTCAGTCTTAGTAAAAACTGATTTCGGTATTTTAAGAAGAAACACATTACGGCTTCACTCGCGCTGAGAAATATCAATTTGAAATTCAACTCACGCAGGAGAAATCTAATTATCCTAAATCATCACATGATGGCCAGCAAACAGACCGATCAATTTTTTTTTTCTTTTAAAATATTGATTTTTCCACCTAATCAATAAACATAGTTCCTGAAAATAATGTGTAAAAAAGATTTTGGTTCATATCAATGGCAGAAAAAGAGAATGGGATCGAAGATAGAAGGCAGGAATATTAGTTCAATCAGGCAAAGTAATGAACACAAAATGTGTAAATCTTTAAACCGATTATAAATGCCTGATTTCATTTTAGATTTGAATATTGGTGACCAAAAACATTAATCGAACTTTAGGTTCGGGATTCCGAAGTACTTTAGTATTAACTACAGTTTTCTAAAATTAATTCTGTTTAAATTAGTTAGCAAATGTAATCCTAAATAAGGAGCCGAATCAACACTTTATTTAAGGATTTATTTTCATTCATTAAATGTATTTCCTTCAATATTTTATGAAACAAAATTAAAAGGCAAAGACGACTGTCTAAACCTGTCGTTAGACGAAAATACAGGATAAAATCAATAAATTTCCTTTGATTAAAAAAAAAATTATTAATTCGTAGTTTTCTAAATAGTAGTGTTTTTATCTAAACATTTGCTAGCGCGTGTCATAGGAAAATATGCAAATTTTAAAAACATTAATAGATTAGACTGTGCATTTCAAACTTCAGAAGCTTGCTATATTAGAGATCAACACCTATTCTATTACGGACAAAAAGAAAATTAAAAAAAAATAAATACAACCGTGTGCAAATTAATTGAAACGAAACGAATAGTTCTGTTATTAACTTTTTTCGTATTTTTCCAATGAAAAATGACCCAGTGCACATGTTAGTAATTCGTATGTGGTTCTTCTGCAAAGAACCACAGCTTCCCGATTGGATTTAAATTAAGAGAGTTTCCAAGCTTGTCTATGGTACTTTGATTTGCTCACTGGTTAGGCTTGCTAGTGTGGTCGCGCAGCGGTACAATTTTCACATGCCTCCTTAGAGTAACGCTCGTCGCATACAATGGCCGTAGGACACCTAATCGACACTCGAGACAATAGTCTCTGGGCGCGATAAAAATCTGATGGAGTCACGGATGAGGCAATATTTTTCAAGGCCAAACAAATGTCATCATACACCCCGAAAAATATTAAAATTACTGCACACCATTGCAAATGACCTAATCTGAGGAAAAGATAGAAATCAATTACACACTGTCACTCCAGTTAGTCGAAAACTGACTACATGCTAAAAGAAAGGAAACTAAAGCAGTTGTATCAATTAATTTGCACAAGGGTGGATGATTTTTTCCGTCATTACACAGATTAATCATCAACGATAAAAACTCCCTTTTAAGAATAACATCAAGTTCCTTCTTATGCGTATCGTAAAAAAACGTCCCTAATTCCAAATACCATCAGGACAATATTCACAAATAGTTCAGCCAAAGACAAGCTTTCTTGACATCGAGAAAATGGTTCTGTCTATATTTCTGAGATGAGATATAGTATTATATGGTTCGGCTTATTAACCTCATCTTGGTTGGTATATTTATTACAACGTTTCGGCTGTTGTACGCTCCAGACTTCTTCAGGTGGCTGGAATGTCGAACTGGACCCTTTATTTCGCTCACTGGGGTAGACTGTGCAATGTTTAATGGATGTCAGTTATCATTTATCTCCTGTTGTCCTCAAGGACACATGGCACAGTGGATAAAGGCGTTGTTTAGATCCAGTGACAGGATTCAAAGAGTGTGAGTTCAATACCCGATTAAGGCCGTGGAGAAATTGGAGAGGGTATAACTGATGATATCCAAAAACTGATCGAGATGTGCAAAGGCCTTGATAAATTTCCTCAGAGAACGAAACGCTAAGAAGACTTTTACTTCTTAATTTTAATTCATTTTGTTTCTTCGCAGATACACTCCCCGAAAATTATTCACATATATATATATATATATATATATATATATATATATATATATATAATGATTTCTCATGAATTATATCCCTATATAAATAGTTCTTAACTACACCAGCATTACGAAAAACTAATGTATTTTCAAATTAAAGTAACGGTCAGTATACACTCAGCACATGGAATTGCGTTTGGCATGGAACTCCGATTACTGCAAGCGGTGAGGGATATGTATATACATTAATATACATAATTTATAGCTCTGTTATATAATATCAGGCACTGTTTCAATAACGCCAACACTTATGTGCAATATATATATATATATATATATATATATATATATATATATATATATATATATATATATATATATATATATATAGTTGATTGATGTGAGTTTGTGACTGACCCTAGGATCTCAGCCTTCTCGATATAAATATAAATATATATATATATATATGCATTATATATATATATATATATATATATATATATATATATATATATATATATATATATATATATATATATATATATATATATATATATATATGTGTGTGTGTGTGCGTGCGTTTGTATGTGTGTGTATACTATTTTGACTGAATATAAAAATAACGAAAATGAGAAAATCTGCAGACAATTGGTCAAGCCTCCTGACGAGTAGACAGAACGATTACTAAACGGTTTTCCTACAAAAATCCAGCAGTTGATTGAAAAGCAACTCCCTATTTTATGTATTATTGGCTAGCCACGTGTCATTACTCCACAAACCAAAACTTTGGAAGAATTGAAAGCCGAATGCAAGAAGTTATATATTCCGTACAACAAGAGTTACACGTAAAATCAGACGTGATTCCTGGCGTCTCGAGTAGCTGGGGGCGAAATCTTGGTTCCCCATCAAATTTTAAATGAAACTTTATGCTATACGTTTTCTTCTCATAACTATTTCTTGTAAAAATTATAGTTAATAAATAATTATAAGTATTTTAAAATGAACAGTTACTTTTCAATCACTATATATATATATATATATATATATATATATATATATATATATACACAAAGTGATGATAAATTGTCACCACTGCACAATATAGTATTATCAGTTAGGCCCGCTCTGTTAGGAAAAAATTGCGCCATGATGCAATTTACTCTGCCAGAAATTTGGAAGCGGCATGCTGTACTGCTTGGCATTCGCGCCGAAAGCTGTAATACGAACATTTCAGAGTGTTCAGGTGTCAATCTGTGGACAGTGCAGACGATGCCAAATATGTACCCAGAATGGTGTAACCAAACGTCCAGTCAAAATCATGGTGTTTGGCGTGACCACTTGTGATGGTAACGTTCTACCTTCAGTCATCTTCCCACAGCGCCTCAGACCCAACACGGAGGCTTACATCAAATGCCTTGAGAAAGTAGTGCTACCCTGGGTCAAGGGATGGCTTCTGAAAGACCCTATGTCTGGCAAAAGGACTCTGCCTCATGCCACACAAGTTAGAGTACCCAGTTATGGTTATTAGACAATTTCTGCGACCGCATCACTCCTTACATCAGGTCACCTATCTTCCCAGACTGCAATCCTCTTGATTATTATGTGTAGAGCGCCGTAACATTTTGTAATAACCCCAAAGAAAACTCATTCTCCTTAAATTGCCCTTCTTTTGTGTTATAATTGATACGTTGTTATATAAATATATGTAGAATGGGAATTGGTACTCTTCCAGATATAACAGACCTTTTGATTATTAAATCTAGTAACATGTACTCATATTTTTCGTTGAAGAATCTTTGACGGAATATTTTTCCTTACGTGAGAGCCCAATAATAAGTCACTATTAATGTTTAAATATTCTTAAAATTCTACCTTTCTTTTAATAGCTTAACATCGAATTTTAAATGTAGGAGTTATAAAATCTAATGAAGATTATCACTACTTCGCTTTAACGCATCAGTGTTTCCTCCTTGAAACGAACGCACCAATTATAAACCCGCGCCTGTTTTAATTCTTACTTTACTATCAAGCTAGTATACAAGCGTGTTTATAATTTAAGGCAAGGTTCTTTGATATCTCCAGTAGCAACGAATGCGGGTATTATAACACCTAATATCAATAATTTAGATAGCATTAATCTGGTATGATTGAACAGTACTGAAATATCGCTGTGACTTCGATATCAACATGGCATATGGCGTTCCCCTTACCACGTGCACTCTAGCTCTTAAACGCACGTATAGCCTGCTTGCAGTCGCACATACATACGACTGATTAAATTCAAGCAAAAACATGTGGTTAGGGTTGTCAAGATATCTTTTCAGAGATAATCATTTGGGATCCGCGTAAATGCAATTTCATTTTATTTTAATTAACTCAGCGTCAAAATGTTTCTACAAATTGTTTGTAAACTGTGAGTCGGTAAAATTAATATTTATTTTAAGAATTTTTTTTTTAACATTTCATTTCTGGTAGAGAAAATTTTTATCGGCAACCACAAAACGCTTAATTCATCAACTTTCATTTATCTGCTACTAAGAGAAAATAAATACAAGATAACTGCCAAAGGTACGCAATAATTAATTAGGTTACATACACACAAACATATGTATACACACACACACACACACACACACACACACACACACACACACATATATATATATATATATATATATATATATAAACATCGTATGGTTCAACCTACCGTACAAAGTAGTCAACAAAAATGCAGTAAAAATCAGATACAGTTGCCTCGAGAACATGACACAAATAACATCAGAAAATCAACAGGAAAGCAACCACAGACCAACTGAAAATATTAAACCTACGTTTAATTGCAAGACAAAGAACGAATTCCCTTAAATGGCAATTGCTTGCAGGACAATGTAATACACGAAGCCACTGTAAAATCCCCAGATAACGAAGAAAAATAAATATGAGTAACTGAAGGACCCGGAAACAACGAAATTATGCACACAAAATATCATTTACAAATAGTAAATATACGAACGGCACAAAGCTTTCTAATCATATCTGGTAGATTAAAACAAACATCAAAATTATCATGGAACATAAGAAAATCAACATCAGCCTACAACAATCAATCCAAAAACTGTATACTCTGGCTGGAGGTAAAATTGCTATAATAACCTTCCCAGAACAACACAAACTACTAAATACGATCAGAACTTGCCTCAAACTACAGACACGTAAACAAATTTTGACTACATAACTTAAAAATCGAAAACTAAAAACAAACATAAATTAACAAAAATAAATAAATTAAATAAACAAAAATAAGTAAAATAAATTAAGCAAAAGAAAAAACTAAGTAAATGATAAACAAAGTAACAATTCACGTACACACAGATAAACACAAGAAAACGTAGTAATAAAAACCAATGATAAAATCATCAATAATAAAAGTTAATAACACTATCAATAGCCAAAAATCTGCATTCGGATCCAGAATAATTTCCACTCATTAGACCATGGAATAATTCGAAGCACAACCGTTACTGCCCACCAAAATAACTGTTAGAATAAAAGAAGAGATTACCCACAATGCAACACAATAGACGATTCACAATGTATCACTGACATATATATATATATATATATATATATATATATATATATATATATATAGTCGAGCAAAGATACAATTTCCATGGCCTGACGATTGCGTTTAACATAAATAGATTGTCGCTTCTGGATTTTGACTTCAATATCCAGTTTTTAACAATATCTCTATATATTTTAAGTCTGTCCATAGAAATAAACATTGCACGATGATTGTTTACAAATGTTCTACCGACGACACTGAACATTCTTCCCAAACAATTACACAGCATTTTGAACAGCATAAATCTACATATAAGAGTGATAAGAAAGTCATTGCAGATTTTGCTACGATGCATTATGTCAACTAACCAAAGTAGAAAGAAATTTGAATGGTACGAAACAGCGTTTATAAATAGTTTATCAATTCTTTTATCCGAGAGTGTATTGTTTATAGTGAATATCAGTGTTTAATTGAGAAAACCTACAAATCGAGGATTTACATTTCTTTTGCACTTTTGCTTGAGAACCAAACACAAACTTTTAACTGACCAGGAATTCCAACATTTCCTGTTAATTTTGTTTAACATATGACAGCCTATCTATTTTTTTTTTGTATTTTGGGGAGGTGAGAAATTGTAGGCGGTTATCTGATTTTATCGTATATTTATATTAAGTTTCTTTCGTTTTATTTTTAGAATTTTTAATCGACTTCTGAGAGACTCGCATTATTCCTCGGCTTAATATTTGTCATATTTTTTTTAATAGAGGCGACACCAGTCTCTTGAAATATTTAATCCACCATCTTTCTATAATGGAACGTACCTTATCAATGCCCTGACGAGTACAATATCACAGAATCTGATTTCCAGAAAGCCATTCGTACATGATATATTTGAAGTCAAAAGTAGAAAAATATAGAAAAGAAAATAGATTTTAGCTGCGCAGTTTTAATATCAGATACCCAATTTATTAATTCTACCGACAAAGTCGAAGAATGAGCCGATCCTAAAATATCTGAGATTTTGGCGCAAAATATCTGCGTCAATCTGGCTCACTGCTTAAAAAAGGCATTGAAGAACGAAGACATTGAAACAGATTTCAGATATGCAATTCTCTGGCAACATTAAACCGAATCTGTATTTTCTGCCGCTAAAAGTATATATATATATATATATATATATATATATATATATATATATATATAAAAAAAAAAACGATGGGAAAAAGCTGCTGAGCAAGTATTTTCTGTTAGTGCGTAATGCAAGTGCTTTCATAGTTTGCAATATCGAAGTTCCCGCAGGTGCACATTCAGCTTTAATTACCTTGGGCTTTCGGGAAGCCGACCATGATATTAGCGAAGACTTGCAGTTATGTGTCTCTGCCAGTCAGTCAAAGTGAGTTTCCTTCATTTTCTCAGAGCACCTGCTGCAAGCATCTTCGAGTGAGAAGGATGTACGGATATTTGAATCGGGACTTCCCGTCTGTAAGACGACCGAAGTCGCTTCTAATACATATACACTTTTCAAGTATATTAGAATGCACTTATTGGCCTTATTTTCGAAATTAGTCATTTTTGCATTTCTGGAATTTATTGACCTTTTTGAATTCGCCGTTTTTATTTTGATACTAATTTTCTTTCTTTATGCTTTTCATTTTCGTCACCTTTATTTGTCCTAGTTAAATCTTCATAAATATTCAAGCGGTTTATCACCAGAATCTTGGAATAATTATATAAATAACACAAAATTACCCTTTTTCTCAGAATTCTGATATTTGTACTGAAGACGTGCAAATTACGTTGACTTCCATTTATTCGTCATTTACTTCGAATAGATAACTGCTCAAACTAAAAGCTAAAGAAGCAGTTACGATATTTTTATGTATAAAATCCTACAGTGTAACCCGGATATAAGAGACCCGGATATAAGAGAAACCTGGATATAAGAGATATTTTCTCTGGTCCCAAATTAGAGCCTGTGTTAATGCATATAAAATAGACCAAACCCGGATATAAGAGAAACCCGGATATAAGAGACATCTTCTCCGGTCCCGACAATTCTCTTACATCCGGGTTACGCTGTATATGCAACCTTCTCTTCTTTGCAACGACATTGGAGATATTTTTTTAAAATCAGTTTACCCCAGGTAAGGCGAAATGCTACTAAGATGCAACGGGCTACTGGAACTGAAAACGAATGAAAAAAGACTTCAAAATGACCCGGAAACCCAATCCAAAACAGGGAACAATGTATAAACATTTGTTCCTATTCAGAAGGAGGAGTTTGAACCGGATGAAAAGCGGACATATCTACTCCCATTAATCTATAATATACTGTGACAATGTGGCAAAATAACGAAGCTATCGTGATTTTCAAATAATACAAATGTTTGGATTCGCCTTTCTAATATTGTGACATTTAAAATTTAATTAGATATAAATATAAAAATATTCAATGAAATCTTACAAGCTTAGTTTGGAGTAAGTCGAAAATCTCAGCTACTTGCTTAGGATCACTCTCGACTCGTTAATGAATGGTCTGCTAAGGCAAGAATGCTGTCAGCCGCTGTCAACTACCGGTATTCAACCATTGAAAGCGACAAGGAAAAGGATCAGTTCAGGTTTTGAATTCCTCTACTAAAATGATAGCTGCGGAGTTACGGGGATTTATGAGAGTAAAATATTGTAACAAATTTAAGTCATCACAATTTAGATAGAAGTTAGATCTTAGTGTAATGATATCGCTTTCTGGAAAACCACCAATATGGCATTAATGGAAGAATATTTCGCGGTTTAAAATTAAGATTATTTTCGAGGCTTTTTTGAATGCAAGTGATTCCTTCTGATGATTATAGTACGAATTAGCAAATAGATAGTAAATATGATTCACTATTTCAGAAAAAAAAAGAGCACGTGTGCACAGGCCTGAAGACAAGCAAACAGGCACACAAAGACACACATGGAAGCGGAAAAGAGAAAATAAAACAATAAGAAAAAAGAAATTAAGATTATAAAGATATCTCTATTAGACAGAACGAAATTAGAGTTAACATCGTTCTCACTAGATAAAGGAAATATAGAAAAAGAGTTTGAATACAAACGCGCACGAGAACACATACACAAACAAACAATCTGATCGAAAAATATCGTATTTACAGCTCATATAATTATAAGCAACGAAAATACAACTATAAATGGAAAGCAAATTTTAGTAAATAATATGAAAATATTATACAGTATACAAATACAAAAGAAACAAAGCACATTAAATAAAACATTGAAGTAACCAATATTTAATATGCGATCATTTTATTCCATACGCAAAAACAAACAAAATCAGGGCTAAATTTACAAGAAATACTCTATATTTAACCGTTACATATGCATCTGTTTTCATGTAATTTATTACTGCGGATTATGTTATTTTTGTTTCTGTTGTATATTTTGTATGTCTTTCTTTTTGCATTGTGGATGAAATGATGTGCGTATTATAGGTTTTTGAATGTGTTTTCTATGTATGTTTCTTCTGTAAGTAAAAAGTCGAGTGTGCCGCCATTGAATATTACCCAAATATTAATCTACGCCCACGCATTTTTCCTATTTCACCTTTCTTAACAGAATTACTACTCTGCCAAACAAACGTAAAACAAACAGTATCAAGAAAATGGTTGAATCCGTCAACACAGCAATAATTGACGTAATTTCAGTTATCAGTATGTACATAGCGGTTTCGAAGTTATTCCATTTGCTAAGGACATTTTGTTTTGTTATTATTAGTAACTTTGTTTAATAAATTCATTTCGTTTCGCTTTGAAAGTCAAAATCGGACGAAACGCGTCGGCAACTATTACAGTTTTCCTATTGTCATTTACATTTATAAATATTGTCTTTTTCTCCAGGTTAACTTTGAGAAATTTTTCATGCATATATATATATATATAACGTCATATGTTAAGAAATGGACAAGGTCCGACAATTTATTTATTAAAGACATTTTATGTTTAACGTTGTTATTTATAGATAAAAGTATTTAAGCAAATGCTCTGTTTATGATTTATGTTTATGTTTGTATCTATAAATAAAACGTTAAAAATATATATTTATATATATATATATATATATATATATATATATTGGGGAGAATATTCGTACATATAAATTTTTAAACTATTGTATTTCAAACTAATGAATAAATATATTTTTCATATAATTAACAGTTTCATAATAACTAAATATGCATAGAATACTGAAAAAATAATTTAATAGAAATAGATCCTATTTATCCATGTTAATGGATGCAAATTTCAGGATTAAATCGTTTAAATTGCATTAATACTCTAGATTATACAAGTATATTCCAGACTGTTCCAATAATATTATCAGTAGTTATTTTAATCTTAAAAACAAACAACATTCTTTAATTGATATTCGAGCAAGAAGTTTACCATCATTGCAAGAGGTAAACAATTGACAAATTCGCTGATTGTTAAACTCAGGAAATATGGTAAAACTTACAAGAAAATCTCAGACGACACGAATATTCCATTTACTACACTTAGTTTTTTCATTGGAAGGCATAAAAAAATAACTTAAAATAGTTAAAAAACCAAAGAAGAGCAGGTGCTCCACGGAAGATTTCTTCAAGATCTTCGAGGAAATTAATTTGTCAAATTAAACAAAATCCAATAGTTACTCGTCAAGTGTTGCAGGATGTGTTGCTTTCATCAGCAATCTGTGTCATTAAACGGACAATAAGCAATTCATAGGAACACTCTAAAGTCACACTCCCATCGGAAAACTCTACTGCCATTGAAAAGACACAAAGATGACAGGTTGAAATTCGTTCGTAAACATATGGATGCGGAAAAATCATATTGGGAAAGAGTATTATGGACAGATGAATCCAAAATTGAGTTTTTTGTAAGTAATTCTAGAAAGCATTTATGGATGAAAGATAGCGATGCCTTCAAGCAAAAGAACACAGTTCCAACAGTGGTGGTACCGTCATGGTTTGGGATGTTTTCTGTAAAACGTACTGACAGAATATCAGTAATAGATGGTAGAATGCATGCTGAAGCATATCAAAATATTTTGGAAGCAAAGTTAACCTTAACTTTGCTTCCAACATATTTGATATATATATCCGTTGTAAATCTTGAACTTCGTCCTGACTGGATATTCCACCAAGATAATGATCCTAATCATACTGTAATATCTACAAAGAAACGGTTTGCTGATAATAATGTAAATATCCTGAAATACATAAGTCAGCCCCAGATTTAAACCCAATCCAGAATCTGTGGCGTTATTTGAGAATTCAAATCCAATCGAGAGCTCCAACAAACATCCTGGATCTAATGAGCATATGATCAAAGTTCAATGAAACAAAGTGCCGACTAAAGTTTGCAAATCATTAATTGAGAACTACAAGAAGAGTTTGGTTGATGTAGAAGTGAATAATGAAGATTATGTATTCTTTTATGAATTGTACGAATACTTTTTTTCACGTAGTAAAATGGTTAAATGGGAAATATTTCTATTAAATAATATTTTTCTATTTTCTGTGCATATTTAGCTATTATGCATCTTTGTACAGCTGCTTATATGAAAAGTATATTAATTCATTAGTTGGAAATACAATAAATTAAAGATTTATACGTGTACGAACATTTGTCTCCCGCATTATATATATATATATATATATATATATATTTGACATTCAAGCCGGTAAATGTTATTTAATACTGTTTATTATAAACAGAGCATTTACTTAAATACTTGTATCTATAAATTTCCGTAGATGTTGAAGGGAACTAGGCTTAAATCATGTCTATTAAGCTAGCCAGTTTGAATGTGAGGGGCCTGAGAGATCAGGGTACAGGTTGCCTGCTCTGTGATTTCTGGTCCTTCGGAGTGGATGTGGCTGCGATCCAGGAGAAAAAAGATGCTCGTGTGCTGTCTAGCGACTTTGTCGTCTATTCAGCATATGGGGACCAGCAGGCCAGAGCTGTTTCCGTGTTGGTTAAACGTTCCCTGGGGGCGAGGGTAGACCTTGTTTATGTGAGTGCGGGGGGCGGTTGATCGTGGCTGATATTGCCCTGAGCAGTGGTGCGTTTCGGGTCGTTGCGGTGTATGCGCCCAATGACCAGAGTGAGCGCGTCGACTTTTTCCGTCAGTTGGGGCCGTTCCTGGTTGATTCTTCGCGCTTAGTCTTAATGGGGGACTAGAATGCCGTCCTGGACCCCAAGATAGATAGGGGGTGAGGGGCTGGCGGGAAGGCATCGGCCGATCGTAGCTTGGTTGATCTGATCGGCGAGTTTGGGCTCGTCGATAGATACCGGGTTGAGCATCCGAGGGGGGAGATGTGGACGTGGGCTCATAGTTGGCCGTTTCACCAGGTAGCCAGCTACTTGGACAGAATGTCAGTGAGAAGAGTCGATCTA